GGACATGGTCAAACCATACATCATCGCTGTACAGGGGGGACAGATTATGTAAGATACTTCCACGTTATGCTATGCAGGCGAAGATCCCTTACCGCTCTTACACGCCGCATAGTCGGCATGGCCAGCCTCGCCGTACTTTCCAGCGGTGCTACCTATCATCACGATCGCCGCCTTGTCCTTCGCAGCGACGCTCGCACGCTCGAGGCCATTAAGATAGTCCCGGATAACGAGGAAGCTCGACGTAAGATCCGTGGAGACCGTCGCATTCCATTGGGCGAGCGTCATGCGCGCAACCGGGACGTCCTCCGGGGGCCAGTACCCATGATTTACGACAATAACTTGCACGGGTCCAAATGAACGGCTCGCCTCGTTGAAGATATGCTGCGTGTCCGACTCCTGCGTTAGGTCCGCCTGCAGGATCTGAACCTGCGTCCCTGCAAACTCGGATTGCAGGGCTGCCAGCGTCGACGGGTTCGACCGGTAGTGGCATGTCACTTTGGCACCTTGCTCTGCTTATACGAAGGTAGCTCTAATATTTGCGATAAGCGAATGGTAGAGATTCAGCGACTGACTGAGGAACAGTCGGGCGGTCTCCAGACCTATCCCCCCGCTAGCACCTGTCCATACGAAGTCAAAAATCTCTCCGAATACCGGATATTAAGCGCAGGTACCTGTAACGAGTACGTGAACACCGTCCAAGCCCAAGTCCATGGCTGGAGTAGGGTGAGTTAGTCGTGGAAAACTTGCTTGATTCGACGAGCAGCTGTTTCGCTGTTCAGCAACCGCCGGCCCGGCGGATCTGTAGCCCGTGGTGGCGGGATCGATGGCGCATCAATACTAAAAATGGACGAACGACTGTCGAGTTGCACTGTCGTAATACACGCGTACGTCACGGACGATTTTTCGACACGGCGTAACCGTTTTCGTTGGGCAGACGATTTGGGGCGCGCCAGGAGGCTAACGTATGCAAAGGCTCAACGTCTATCGAACCGCGGCCGTGTGGAGCAAGTGTCCGTTGAACGCCGGCAGAACTGGCTATTTACTACAACACGACATCGTTGTAAAACCGAGCACGGACCCAGAAGACGAGGGCTAAACAACGTCTATCGTTTTCCACCTTTTTCCAGCTAGCTGAGATGTGCGGATCCTAAGGTAACTTAAGCGCCTGAGCCTTGGTTACGCGTGACGGTTGGCAGGATGGGCGTGCTTCACTACGCATGCGAACCGAGTATACACACTGCCCAAGTTTTGTAGTGTGCGAACAAAATCCAACGGGGTATCTACGGGGTATCAGCGAAGGAGAACCATTACAGCGTGTCTGTGGGTGTGGTGAGTGGAGAGCAGCAGGAAAGACGCGGTATACGACGTACATAGTGTAAGGGAAAGACGACACAGAGGAGAACC